CCGTCTCCAACCATTATCAGTCTCAAAGTGGGTTACTCGTCATCGAAAATCAAAAGCGAGTATGTACTTGATTCGCAGGTTTCGGTAGAGAATTATCCTGGTGAATGTAGTTGACTCGCAAATTTCGACAGGAGATTGTCCTGGTGAATTTAATTTTCAAGCTCATCTCAAAAATATTCAATCGCATTTTAATCGCCTGAGTTTGCAGATCAATGAAAATAACTGAAGTAATTGTCAAACCAATTTCCACAAATGTAATCATGTTAGACTGATGCATTATTGATTTGGAAAATTCCTTGTCTATCAGGGTGGAAATGAAGCATGTAACGGATCTATTATTATATGTTTGTTTTAATATCGGTGTTCATTTAAATTAACTTTGTATTTGGAAATGTGTATAGCTGATACTGATAAATATGTATTTATCCAATTATTATCCAAAGTTGTAGAAGATTCTCGATTGTAAGAATCAACAATATATGTGTGTACATAAACACTGGGTTAGCGTCAGTATTGTTACGTAAAACTGAAATTTCGAGAAACTCTCCACACGCCTATAAATATAACCAACGCGACGCACCAAAAATAGTATCTATTATTGGGTTGCTATGATTGATGTGCTATAAACTTCGTAAGCTATTACTGTGATTAACGTTTATTAATCGGGAACTTTAGATATATTGACCAGGAACGTTTATAAATTTCGAACATTACAAATCATTCAATTTCAGTGGATTCACATCGGACATTAGTACTTTAACGAAAACATTACCTAACGTAACCGGTAAAAGAAAGTCGACCTGTAATCGGCGTATGATCAGCGTGAACTACAAAGCTAGCTAGCTCCCCATTAAGCGAATTGTACCCACATCAACTCGTAATTGACTCGCTCATCGTGAACCATCGATAATATATCAAGGAAGTTCCAGATAAGAAAGAAGACTATGTTGCTTGTAAGTTTGTAAAATTTTTGTATATAAATCATTGTGTGTAATGACTGTTATTGTAAATTGTATTATTGTTTGTGTATTAAAATATATTTGTATTAAAAAAAAGAAAATGGTTTGTATCAATCTTGTTTGCAAATATCATAAACTGACTATAGATCGGCTTTTACTTAACTGCTAAATCCAAAGTACAGTTTTAAAACTACATTTAAATTATCATTTAGCTCGGTATCAGACCATTCGAAATTGTAATACGTAACAAGCATCATGTGGAAGACATAATCAACAACAATGTTCAGGTACATTGCGATTATTCACACATCTAAAGGAAGAAAAGGTCCAAATCATTACCAAGAGCATGTTCTCTACACTATTAAACCCTTTCCAATAGTTTGCTGCACCTCTTTGGAACAACATAGAAAGGCAAGTATCTTTTGTGTTTTTGTTCCATGTATTTACCCTTATGTCATTACGAAAAGGAATGAAAAGCAACTTATCAAATTTCATCACATGCTTCCACTCATTCATTCTTCACAGCTTGCGCTTTACTAACCCGCAATATCGGGAGTTCCTATTTGCATCTGAGATAAGTTTTTGAGACTGGTTTTCAGCTGTCATATATCATTTTTGTTAATATCTCTGCATTGTTAGGATTGGAAGAATTGATCATTAATGAAACAGTCTATCGTATTTTGATGTTCTTTCGTCTTTTTCCTTGGTCAGTCAACAATGGTTGATGGTCACAGTTTGTTTTTTGCTATGTATTTTCGTGTATGGCAGTCGTACTCCTTTCATATGACCCTTGTTAATATATCTTGATGACAAATATATTGAAACAGCCGGTCAAGGAGACAGTTTTGACCTATGCAGATATACACTATACCATATGAAAATTAGGCAAGTCTTACCTTACCCAATGGTTCGCAGAATAAGCACGATATTCCCATATCTGACACATGTCACGTGATAAATTTATTATGCTTATATAAATAAATGAACTGTTCTATAGTGTACAAGTGTTATACAAGTGTACTAGCATTGATGGTATATACAAAATCCGTAACATTTACAATTTCATTAGCATATTAATAGATCCTCATTATTATTGTCAACACCGGTATTAGCAAAAATATAACACATAATTTCAGTATGTTACTGAAGTGAGTTTATCCCAGTCATTGATATAAATGAGTTTCGTGTAAATCAGTTTTCCATGCTTTATACAAAGTGTATCTCAATGACAGATACAAGATAAACCTTTATCTAAATAACAAAACAAAATAGTATATTTTAACATACTTCATCTAGCTGTGCTAAACTAATTTGATTTGTTTCAATAAACCTGATTTGTAAATATCAACATTACTACTAGAAAGGCCACAATGACGTGGGGATATTAAACTTGAAGTAACATGTTTCAGAACATGATCATTAGTTGGTTTGAATAAACTGCTGAGACTGAGTGGAAGGATTTTGTTCAGATTCAACTAATCATGTTTTTCAAAACTAACGACTTACTTTCATTACAAATGAGTAAAACAATTGATTACAATTAACCAAAGTGTATGAAAATATTGCTATTTGTTTATAAGTTGCTTTTAACTGTGAGAAAATAAATGCGAATTATCTAGTTTTTGTTTTTATTGTATGTTAACAGTTATATATGTTTTCTTTCCATAAGCTTCCATCCATTCCGTTTAAAACGTAACTGAACGGAATGTTAGGTGTTTATGTGAATCCTCACCCCCTAACATACGTGGTTCAATCTGACTGCGGGAGAAGAATTTTAAATGAGAAGGAAAATGAGTTAAGTCTGTTGTCAAACACAAAGTACACAATGGGAAATTGGTAAATGATGTAAGTTAAGAGTGGTAAGACAGAAGAAAACATTTGCTATTTGCTGTATTAAAAAGAAAATTTAAGAAAACTGAGCAGCATCAACGACCAATCAAAATGACCAGTTCTGGAACGCTGAGTTGGTTACTTCCGAGAGTTTTGTAACAACCACATTCTTAAACCTATTACATGGGGAAAATATTTTGATGCTTAAGAAATTTGTATGTTTGGTAAGAAAGAAACAAAAACTTCATCTCAAAAACAAATCGACTCATTGTGCTTAAAACTACCAAGCAAGATAAGTCGTATTTTAAAGTGTGACAGAATAACACAGTTTTCTTTTGTTTATTCGAAATTTAGAGCATAGACTGGAACTTTTGAAAACAGGCTCGAACATTCACAGACAACCATCTGTCTTTCAACATAAGCTTGATTTTAACAGTGGTATCTAACCTCGAGGTTATATATCAAACATTTAAATATAACCTTAACTTTGCACTCATCATTTCACGTGCCTATTCAACTTCAAAATTACACACTCAAAAAAAAGTTGTTCGGATCACCCTTGCATCATACAGCATTCTTGAAGTATTAGATTTACCAGTGATTCTTGTAAGCCTATCATCATAATGAAAGTATTCTTCCTTTAATTTTAACGTTCACCTTTATTAAAGCAGTAAACCAAAAGATCGCGGTAAAAAGATTATACGTGCTAGTGACAAGATTGCGTATAATACAATGTTAATATAATAGATAAAGAAAAAGAAAAACTACGTACACCGAGTACAAAAGCAGGTCATTATAAATAAGAATTCACTCGGTGCTTGTTAAATAAAAAATGGATTTTTATACATGACAAATATCAAATTATTTCCTAGCATTAATCGTTTTACAAAAACGAGTAAGAAAATGGCCTTAGAATGATACCTTTCCGGGCATCTTTTGCCATCGTAGTCACATCCAAGAATGAAGTCTTCTTTTTTGACGCCTAGTTCTTGTCTCTCAGCACGTGTTAGAGCGTTTAACCTGGTCTGCAGTCTTTTACGGCATTTCTAGAAAAACATAAAACACAATATACAATTCAAGTTCACTCTCTATACATTCTTCTTATATTTAATACGTTCTTAAGATATATGTATGAAATATCCTCGTTTTATCCTATAACGTGTTGACTGTTTATCTTCACTTTTATTCAATGAAATATCCTCGTTTTATCCTATAACGTGTTGACTATTTATCTTCACTTTTATTCAATGAAATATCCTCGTTTTATCCTATAACGTGTTGACTATTTATCTTCACTTTTATTCAATGAAATATCCTCGTTTTATCCTATAACGTGTTGACTATTTATCTTCACTTTTATTCAATGAAATATCCTTGTTTTATCCTAAAACATCTTGATTGTATATATTTGCATTTATTCAATGAACTATTCATATTTTATCCTATAAGTTCCCTAGTGGGACAGCGGTAAGTTTACGGGATTACAACGCTTAAATCCGGGGTTCGATTCCCCGCAGTGTGCACATCAGATAGTCCATTGTGGCTTTGCTCTAAAAACAAACAGATTATCCTATAACATGTTGACTGTTTATCTTCTCATTTATACAAAGAAATATCATTGGTTGATCTTATAACATATTAATGTATATGCACTATAGTTTCCCAAACAAATAAAATATCGTGGTTTTTGTCTGTAGTTAGGTGTTTCATATACTTCGCTACAGCAGTAGAAAACACTCCTGTGGTATATATCGTTTTATCATCACTCAGTTGTAATCTTTCATAAATGAAAGGGTGAAGTTTTATTAATAATTACTTAAACAAACCTTTTACTTAGCAGTGTTAAAAAAACGAAGTGTAATACTAACTAACTTATAATACTTTTATGAGTCATTAGAGACGGTCATCGTTTATTTTAATATATTTTCGCATGCAAACAAGACAGGTCGCAGCACAGTTTTTCTACTTAGAAATATTTGTGTGAAGTCTTTTTATTTCCAATTTCATTAAGATAAACTTTAAAAATATATTTAAAAAACCTAGTGATGTTTCCTATCTTTTTCGTATCCGAAAGTTACACAATAGATAATTTCTGTTTTTAAAAGTTAGTATAAAACCATTATGTTTCATATCCCATCAATATCAAGACGAGGGTTTAAAATAACGCAATAAATAAAATAGAAAATAGATCGCAGTTACTAACAAAATAATGTATTGAATGAAGATTGCAGTAAATCTAACAGAATGTATATAGTCTGTGATACTAACAGTAACAATATTTAAGAGAAACCAAATAATTACTTTTAATCCAGATTTAAAGTACATGGAATGATGAAAAGGTAGATAATATATTACCTAAGTTCAAAAAAATAATTTTATGACATTTCTAACTATTCACCTTCCTAACCTTATGGAAATATTTATATTTTTTCAGCTAATAATCGTTACTTTGGTATGATTGTTAGTTTTAGCGAAAAAAAACAACACAAAAGGTTATTTGTGTTATGGCCACTAAGGGGACTCGTTCCCTGGCTTTTCGGGTTGTTAGTCCGTAAAGTTACTACTGACCCACTATTGTTATTAATAATAATAAAAATGTTAACTTAGGTAAGCTACTATGATTAATGTTATATTTTACAAAAGCTATGCGCGCAGAGAATGGGACAGTTTTGAAATCTCGAGCTCTCCCTTAGTCATGAACGTTTCAATTTGTGCAAAAATTTATATTTAGATAGTTGAATGTTCATATCTAATTTGAACTAAAACAATGAAAAGTATACTTTTTTATTATTCCCTCAGTAACTATTATAATAGGCACGAAACATATTTGCAGCTTTGTTCAAATATTTCAACTATAAGTTTGGCGTTTACCTTGAGACAGCGCGAATGCATTATCTCTGTGGACAAAATGATCAATATTCTTGCCTTGACGCCTCACTGTTTATAATTTTTGCAACATTTAAGCATTCATCAAACTACGTGCAGCATTCTGTTTACTTTCATCAACTAGATAGACTTCATTATTCCTAGATGTATTTTACTTGTTTTGAGTATCATTATAAAATTGTATTCTTATGTTTGTAGAGGTCTTTTCTTTTTTGTAGATTTTTGATTCTTTATATTACTTTCGGTTTATTTATTACTTCGTCGTCCTAATGATATTATTGCGTGGTGTCCCTTATTAAGATAATATTTAGTAGTATTAGTATACTTTCATTAGCTTCTGTCTTTTGTGCCCCCTAGTGACTCAGTGGTAAGTCTACAAGCTTATGATGCTGAAAATCGAATTTCGATATCAGTGGTTGGCAAAGCACCGATAGTCCATTGTGTAGCTTTGTGCTTAACACCAACCAACTTTATCTTTTGTAAATTTTAACAGTAAGTCCAGTGAACTACATTGTTGCAAATCTTAATTTAATCAAAAATAGTATTATGACAGCAACAATACAAAATAAAATTAGGAAGCATTTTAAAGTTTTACAGATATCATTGACAATATTCTGGAAGCAAGAAAAAATCACTTTTATTATACAAATTATAATTTTTTAAATGAAAAATAAGAGTAAATCACCTTTTTTAATAAATTTAGTTTATTTCAATAAAAGTTCTTTATTTGTGTCACCAGTAGTTTAAAATAGTACCTTTATTTAAGTTAATGACATGCTTAAAGTTTTCAATATAATGTCATATAAACAATAAGGGATGTTTGGTGAGTGCTCAAATTTGTTTCATTGTAATTCGTTTGATCAGATGGTTGATTGGTGTTTACCAATCCAACTGGTTCAGGCTTATGTAATGAAAGAACTAATTAAAGAGAGTTCAATAAATTGGAGAATAAGTTTTCCACACCTAAAATAGCTTTCAGAGAGAAGGAATAGTATAAGCTACTAAAGAGTGTGACAAGATCTGGCAAGAAGTAGAATGGATAAGGGCATTCGAGGAGAACATGGCGAATATTTTCAAGTGTTGTTTTACATGATTGGCATGAAGAAAAGTCACTTAGACTCATTTTATACAACGTAGGATTCAAACGACAGGCGCCAAGACGAAGACTGGTGGTTATAACATCAATACATCTATTCAGGGGAGAAGCAAGAATTTGAAAGTCCATGAAGAAACCCAGGTAAAATGCAAGCGTTGAATCAAACTATTGCGGATTTCTGAGAAACTTAAGGTCTGGGGGAGATCAACGGCGGAGGAGAAGAATTGAAGACAAGCAATCTTGGCAAGTCTATCGACACCTTCGTCACCAGAAATTCCAACATATCCTGGCAGTCAAAACAACTTTACTGTGCGGTTAAGATGTTCTAAACCAAAGTGCTGATCTAGGAAAATAACAGGGTTATAAAGTTTGGAGGCGGTAGGCTTTACATATTTTGGTATGTGATTCGTGGGGTGGAGATGAGCATCATCTAGTTTGAACTTGAAAGTTTCACTAAACCACTTCAGTATGCAGCCACAGTATGCTAACCTATAAAGTTTCCGAAGAAGACCATGGATTCCAAACTGTCAACTACAGTATGCATATCCAGTAAGATCGCTACAGGCCGCTCCTTAGTTGTCTTTTCCGACCAAAATAGCTTATCACGACAAAAAAAAACATATTGATCAGGTAAGAAACAACTACAGGAAAATGTCTTAACAATGCAGGAAATATAAAATATTTGGCAATGGGAGCTGACAATAGGAATTGCCTTAGATATAGGTAAGATTTCAACATGTTCCCAAAAAAAGACTGTTACGCCACCATCTTAAACACACCAAAGAGTTTATATGTTTCTTTTAAACCTGGACCAACCTCTTTGTTCAATACAATACTGGTTTTTTTCTTCTATTGTTTATCTGATATTTAATTCACACTTGAACTCCACCTGATTTACCAGTTTAACATAATTCCAGTCTGTAATTATCTTAATTATACATATAAGTATTGCACAAGTGCCATTTTAGGTTATTAATTTAGTATTTGTTTTAAACATGTTGCACGTTCGATTATAGTTTCAGATTATTTTCCACATAGTAAACACCTACTTTTGCGACCCCTCAGTGGCACAGCGGTAAGTCTATGGACTTATACGCTAAAAATCGAATATCGTTACCCGTGAACGCTGCTTAGATAACCGATTGTGTAACTTTGTGCTTAACAACAATCAAAGAAAACCCACTTTTTCATTTTAATATGTACAAAATTACAAAGGGTTGGGCAAATGTCTCGTACAAAATTAACGAGTTTTTTATATAGGACACAAATCTGCCTGTTTGTTTGTATTTCGCGCAAAGCTACATGAGGGCTACCTGCGCTAGCCGTCCCTAATTTAGCAGTGTAAGACTGGTGCGAAGGCAGCTAGTCACCATCACCACCCCCCGCCAACTCTTGGGCTACTCTTTTACCAACAAATAGTAGAATTGACCGTCACATTATAACGCCCCCACGGCTGAAAGGGTGAGTATATTTGGTGTGACGAGGATTCGAACCTGGGAGTCAAGCGCCCTAACCACCTGGCTATGCCGGGCCAATCTGCCTGTTAATATTATTTCACAAATACAGCAGCGCCAGTATTCATCTCTATAATATACAGGTTTATGTTCGCCCACATAGTTGATGAAACACTTGTCTGTTTAGTTGATCAGTTATTATATAGTTTAAACTGACTTTGTTGACCATTCACATAACTTTTGTAAATTTTTATGTTATGTAGACTTGAAAGACACATTCTTTTGTTCGTTCACACTTAAACAGATTGTATTTACAAATAAGCATGATAGAATACAACTTGAAAATTAACGAAGAAGTTCCTTTTACTTCAAGCATATGTATTCTGTTAACATTGCAAACAAAGTTATTTTGTGTAACTATTATTTCTGTATGTTAAGTATTTTCCACATTATACCTTAAATGCAGTGTTAAACTTGTACAACAAACGTTTTCTTATTAGTATAATAACTGCAACTATGTAATTTTAACTTGGTTTATAAATGTTAGGTATCAATTTAGTGCACAAACCTTATATCTCTATATCGAAATTTATGTACCGAGTTTATTCGTGTAAAACATGTTTTATGACAAAGATATCTTATGTAAACTAAGATATTAAAAATTAAACTTACTCTAACTAGTGATGATCAGACTTTGTGTGTCACCGATATCTCACCTTAATACTCAGAAAAATAAGTTTATTGACCTTTGAACTACACAAAATATTTGAAATTTAAATTTTAGTATATCAGATTATCTTTACATTACAATAGAGATTGAGTTTTCGTAAATTAAATGTCAATGAAGTTTTAGTACGGATATCATTGATGTTTACTTTTCATTTTGAGACGACCTAAAACTTTTATGTCAGAATGTATATTGTATCTCTCTCTAAAGATTGAAATTACTTACATTGTTTGAGGTTTGCGTAGTAATAATTTTGTGGTTAATTGTACCCATTTTCAACTCAATACAAATAAAGACTGTTTTGTGTTAAATCTGGTATGCACAATACCTGTTTTTCGGATTTCTTTGTTTATTTTATTAATATTACATGTTCATTGTATTATATCAACAGAAATATCATAAGGTCATAAGATGATGTATTATTATTCTCTTTCAATAAATTTGATAGAATAAGGCTAATTCTGCCTTTCTGTATCGATTGATGTGGGGCATGAAGATTGGATGTGTCCTGAAAAAGATCTGTGACCATATCTGAACAATAATAAACATTTACACCACAAGATCAGTACCATCGTTTTCCACATCTTCAGAACAAATACTAATCTGAAAAACATAATATACAGATCTATACCATAATATCTGCATAATATCAAAATTTTCAATCATATGATTGCACAAATAAAATAAATTTCCACAAACAATGCATGTGAATTATTCCACAAAGCTATTGATTCGAAGATGCCGATCAAACAACTTTCATTTTGGAATACTAATGAACATACCACACACTTAAAATCCATAACCTCAACAGAAAATATAAAATACCTTTATTTACATAATAATCTAGGAAACTTTGTCCATTTAGTGCGGTTGTACAGACTAATAAACTGGATGTGACCCCCACTCTCTTTACTCATTGGATAACAAGCAGTGTACCCACAGGGGCAGCGAAAATAAAGCTCTCAGTGCACCTAAAACATCGAGCTGATAAGTGAAGTGTGTGTAAAAGGTGCACCAGACTCTGCCAATTTCATATTATGATAGGTTACTGCAATCTCAGAGGAAACAAATACTGCCTTGAGAAGCTCTCTGAATTTTATGGCATTACATTCTTTCAAGAGACTAAACTCTCAGACCCTGGGGAGTTTATGGCGATGTCAGACATTTACAGTAATGAGGATAACCATAACGTACAGATGAAGACCAAGGCAAGGCCTTCATGCCAGATGCATTAACCACTGTAACCAAGGTGACAAACAAATAGAATATGCTAACCCAGAGGCTGGGATGACTACTGCAGTTCAACAAGACAGCAAAATCCATTATGAACAATCACCATTACAAGCTACGAACCATCCAGATAGCTCAATCGAAGTTACCCATGCAAATCTGAATCGCTAATGTGTACGTGAAAGGTAACACGGCACACCATGATGAAGATTTGTGGTTCATACCTAATCTGTCTGACAACTGTATGTATACTAGACACTCTATCTGGGATGAAAGTCAAAACACTAATGGTAAAGCTTTACATTCTGCTCTTCACAGTATAACCACCAACCTTATACTGCTAAACTTGTGTGAACCAACAGGAAGAGCTGAGCCCAAGATAACAAGACTCCTGTTCAGACCTTGCTTTGCCTTCTTGAGTATCATCTCTACTTCGCATGGGGACAGAATGTCTGGAAATGATTACCTCATATGTGATGCATTAACCACTGTAACCAAGGTGATACGCAAAAGAGGCTCAATCTACAGCAATGTCTGCTTCACTTACAACTACATGAATATATAGAAGCCATCTTTAGCTTGAACGAGGTACAAAAAGATACAAATACATCTAAAGATAGAGCTCCAGTTCTGGATGCTGTAAGAATCTTCACCTTTAAGAAGGTAACAGAAGTCAACCTGTTGAGGTTAGTATTGAAATATCAACGTAGTTTGGCTCCAGGTAGTAACCATAAAATATTGACACATGCTTCTATCAAATCCATGAAGGATCATGTTTGTCTTAAAGACTATCGAGTCATCATCCTACGAAACATTATTGACAATATTCCAGAGAATGCTGCAGCTAGAAAGCTTGCCTGCCTATCAGAATGATCTACTTCTACTGTTGTAATTAAGTGGCTACTTCAGTGAAATATAAATATGGATCAATGCTGTTGAATTTGCAGTTGATCATAGAACATTCACGTTAACTTTAGATCTGAAAGTTTCCTACAATAGAGTCCAGTTTCCCATTCTTGTTGATAAAATGATCAGATATCTTAACAACCTAGTAAAGGCCTAGTCATTTTGTTTGTATTTCAAATTGATTTGAAATAAATGTTCTAAAAGAAATACGTATTGTAAACATAAATGTGATATTCGATATCGTCCTACTTTTCGATAAAACATAAAATTTTAAGTGTTGCATACTTCTTTCACTTAGTTTATAATAGAAATGTCTATTTTGAAAACATTATTTTTGTTATTTGATTTGTTTTAAGTAATATTTTATAGTAGATACATATTTAGAATACACATAATCCAATCACATAGCGTCAGTTGATAAAACATAAAATGGTTAGTTTTGCATATAGCTTAGTTTTGCATATATAATACAAATTCTCCAATCAGATAGTGCATAAAAAACGGCATTACAGTCTCATTCTGTTTTGTTAGTATAGCTTATGCATCATGAAAAACCTTTCCTTTATGAGTTTTCGTGTTAAAGAAATCATGAGCTTAGTGTAGATTTTAACATAGACATATATATAACTGAAGTGTATATGCATAAGTTAAAATTAAAAAAAAGCATGTTCTTTTCAGGACTAACAGTTTCCAGGATAGGCATCAATACAATATAACTAAGAGCCTAAGACCTTACAAGGAAGACCAAGTTAAGTCAAAACATGTCTTGATTATTACAGACTATAACAGATTATCGCTACGAGATCGGTAGAACTGACCGATCTCGTGACCATTTTGTATTCATATAAAGTACACTATACAGATTATCAAATTGGAGCAAACTTGATAAAAATAACATTTTAAATTTCATGCATTCAAATGTTTTGTTTATTCTTGTATACAAATACACTTAAAATGAAATTATAACTTAGAAATTTCATTATAATAAAGATCATGTCTGAACATTTTGCTGTTGACTTCATCATCACATCACCTTTCTAACTGGCAGTCCTTCTAAAAAAACTATCCGCCCCTGGTGGAACACTGCGGAACTATCCACTTTCTGCTGCCCTGTATAGAATTGACAGTTATGGCGTAACAGTTCACGTGACTTCCCGTTAAAAACAGGTTCTTTGCACCTTATTACCTTAAGCAGGCAATCAATGTCCGTGACATCAAAGGTCACGTGATCCCTTTAGCTAATCAGTATTAGGCGGCATTCTTTGAGATTAATACGAATTGGTTATCTACTAAGCTCATATTTTTCAGGGATATTTGATTCTCTAATATATATGATGCCTGTGTAAATGTATAGCAGTCGGAGGTCCGAAGACAATCCTTGTTTTTATAAACAGTTATCAATAATTGTGCGGGTCTATGTAATATACTTAAGTCAACCTGGTGTGAAAATGACTTGGAAGTCCCTTAAGCTTATTTCTAGTAATAGCTCGTTGTTTTCTTTATTTCTTTCTTTATACTATAGTATAAAAGTTTGTTTACTTTCAATAGGTCAATGATCGACATCACTTGTTACGTGTTTTAACGATAGGGAGTGAGCAACAATAGAAAAACTAAACAATGAATGAGGTTCGTTATTAACAATATACTATAACAGTTGTGACAGACAATCCTTCACCATTTACATGCAGTCTTGAGCTAGCTCCTGTAACTTCTATCTCAAGAATGGTCTGCGTGGAAAACACTTCTAGATATCGGATTTTGTATGCAAATGGATTTGTAACACCAATTGGACACGTTAACAACGTAGTGTTTTAAAGCTGAGTGTAGCAATGAAGAAAGTACATTGGGCACAAAGACGGCCAAACTCTCATCACCATTGTTGGTGATGGAGTATATTCCTTTTTAGCATGCTGATATGACTGATATAAAATCCTGTTTCTTTCTGATCATTCCTGGTATATTTTGTGCATTTGCCATCATACTCCAATTATTAGTATTAGTAGTATTGTCTTTATTGCTTCACAAATGGTTCTATCGATCTTTAATTTATTTTTCAATTCCTTGAACTCTACAACAATGAAAACTTGAGCTCTAGTGCATGTAAATTCAGTTCATCATATAAACACTTCAACAATATTCTAAGACAGAATATCTTTAATACAATACAATATATTATTTATGAAATTCGAGAAACTTCCTGAATACTTACCAAAGAAATTTGAAAGTTAACTTAGATGTGTTGAATTCTAATTTTTTCGGTTACTTATGATAATATGTAGCTATCGTCTGCTCCCCAGTGGCACAGCGGTATGTATGCGGACTTACAACGCTAGAAACCGGGTTTCGATACCCTTGGTGGGCAGAGAACAGATAGCCCATTGTGTAGCTTTGTGCTTAAACTCAAACAAACAAACAAAGCTATCGTCTAATAATGTGTGTAAGTTTACAGATTATCATAATAGCAAAAATGAAAAATAATAATACATAGAATATTTACCTGATTAGAACTCCAACAACAACGTATCTTAGTTTTTAACTATTTCAAAATATACAATACTGAAAATAATTATGGAAACACCCAAGTGACACATGCAGGTATCGAAAACAATGACTACCTGCAACTAAACGGGCAGTTTATCACTGGTGCAATAATTATTACATGAGCATTTAAAAAATTAGTGTGGAGTGTCAAAAATTTGACCATGACTGTCACCTAAAATTCTACTTACCTTCTTTTCATTTGGAAAGCAACTGCAAACCGAAGAGTCTCGTTCACACCAGAGACTTTGTTTAACCCTAGAACACAAAAAATATAGATTATATATTTCTATCCTGGTGTAGTTAGTAACCCTAAATGCTGTAATCAAATTATGTATGGATTAATACACATTTCTGGAACGATTGGGGCGATAGAATAGCATTATTGATCATTTGATTCGATAATTTTTAAAATCTTTTATGCGATTCTGTTGAAAACATAATGTCTAATATTCCATAAACAACTTTAAGAAAGTTCAGGTTGAAATACAACTGAATGTAGTGTCATATTTCCATCAAAATACCAAAGAAAATTGGTATCACTGAGTGACCTTATCGCTTTTATGGGTTTTATTTTATCAGATTTCCTGAGAAAATGCCATCTGAAATAATTTAATCTGGTCGACAAAATAAATAGAAAAATCAACAAACAATACTAACCCCTTCATTTCACAAAGGAGTTCTGTGAGATGTTGGATGCATCACCATAGGCTAGTTGTTTTTCAGTAATAATAACAAAGACTAAAATATAGATTTTAAAGAATGTGTCATCATAATACTAGAACTAAAGTGTGAATAGTAAGAGATTTAAAGAGATACTTTATGACAGAACAGACAACTAGTGCTCACTGATATATACGATGTACTAAACTTACTGTCCTCTTATGATCACAAAACTCTTCCATTTTTACAAAGACAACAATGGTTAATAATAATCTAATGAAAAGTGAGTAAAAGAATTGTTCTCTAAATAAACTATATTTTTAATAATTATCGAAATTTAGTGTATTGTTTTAGTGAGGCTTGAGCTCAAAACTATCAGAGATTCATTTCATGTTTTGAAAAACAAAACCGAATTAACTACTACATTATAATAACTTACTGCCAGAATAACTCATTTATAACTTTATAATGTCTATTGGTGTTTTACTAACGCCTACCTGTTCCGATTGCACACTGTGACTGCTGGGAAGGGCAATTTTCCAGAATTTTCAACTTCAATATTTACTACACTTTCAAATTTCAGATACATGGTAAGAAAGGTTGTGGTTTGATACAACATTCCAGAGATGCAACCAACTAGAAATATCGTCTACGAAAGAGAAAATAATTAAATCAATATATATATATATATATACACAGAAACTGTTCAAATCCAGAAATTAAGCAAGACTTATATTGTTTTGTTTTTCTAATTTCTTCTGTCCGTTCATTACGCTGTTATTTTCGACGTCATTACAAGTTCTTGAGCTGTGGATACCCATGGTATTGTGTTTGTTATCTATAGATTTAGGCCTGTGTTTTGGATTTTTTTACAGAATTTGTCTTGCATATTCTAGTATTCTTATTCTCATGAACAAGAAGATTCACAGAAGCAGTTTGAAACATCGCCTTCTTATCATTTACCAGGCAGATTGTTTATTAAAACTTTCAAATTTTTAACGATGTTCTATTAACTAATTATGACTTTTAAATAATTATGCTTTTTCTAATGCACTACAGATTGTATTGCTTATGCTGAGGTCACAGTGAGGTGCAAGCTTAGAACATCACGTTTTCGGTTACTTCCTTAAAATCGTGCTGATCTCTAGCTAGGCCTAATTCAAAGTTTACCAAAGACAATGCAACGACGTAAAGGAAGCAGGTTAGAATTGTATGTTTTGACTTAATGGTTACATTTATTCCTGACTGTGTAATATCAAAATGATGAATGATAAACCTCCAAACTAAGAGATAAAGTCTCAATTATCACAATTTAACAACGATTTTTACCTGAACTCAGGCTATGGTATGAAAAAAGCTTATACAACTTACAAGTAACGACAACGTTCTGTTGTAGTAAAACATTATATTAATATAATGTGTTTCAGCATGTATAGGTAGTGATAACATACTATAACACATTATGTTAATATAATGTGTTTCAGCATGTATATGTAGTGATAAGATACTATAATATAACACATTATGTTAATATAATGTATTTCAGCCTGTATATGTAGCGATAAGATACTATAATATAACACATTGTATTAGGTCGTCATGAAATTAATGTCGCGTTTTGGAACACTTTCATTACCCCCCCCCCAAAAAAAAACAACAACTTACATCACGTATAGTAGTTAAACGAACCGCATAAACGTCACGCTAGTGTAGCCCATATAATATTTAAAGTTTAGTATACTCTAATCCCTTATAGTGATGGCACGCGACGAGACACACATTCGGCATGTAATGCTGTTTGAATAAAAAGAAGGGAAACAACGCCTATGTAACCACAAAGAATATAAACGAAGTCTATGGAAATGTTTTGAACGTTCGTAAGTGTTAACGATGGTTCAGTAAATATCGTTCAGGTGACTTTAGCCTTAAAAATTGTGATGGCAGGGGCCGCCGACATGTTGGAATTGATATTGATGCTTTGAAGACGTTTGTTGAGTCTAACCCAAGGCAACACACTCGTGAAATGGCC